CCATTTTGTTCTGCGTCATTTCGTGAAGGACGCGTGGCTCTCAGCGTGGGTCATCCACGCGGAACACATTCGCGCTATGTGATTGGCTGTTGTCTAATCCCCCTTGAGATCTGTGGTGTTAAAAATAACTCGAGACGAATTACCTATCGAATAGGGTGTATATGGGGGATGGCCTCTCTGTCCCCTTTATAGTCTCTTGGTATCCCTATAAAGCTACTGAGAGACCCTGCCCCGAGGACCAAGGGGGCCCTTTAACCAGAACGTTTTTCGACTTTTTCGCAGCGTCTCAGTCAGCACCTTTAGGTCCGCTCACAGACCGAAATGTCTGCTTCATATGCTTCAACACTGGCTTCAAGTAATGAATGCCGACCCTTTCGTATACCAACCCTGAAAAAAGTACCCCTTTTGCGCGGAGCTAGCCTCACCGTAAAGGCTATTACAGGGAGAACCCTCCCTCCTCGGGTTAGGTTGAAGCTTCGGGTCCTTACACAAAGCCAATGACGCGACAAAGATAAGGCACTACTCAGTACCAAAATCAAATAAATGAATTATAAAAGAAAATGAAAATAATATGCGCCACCCCACTGATCGCACTTTACTTTTTTTAGCCCTAACTCGCCGAAAAAACACGCTCATAAAATCCTCGTTCCCAGGGCTTCTCTTTTGAAATCTGGGAGGGGATCTGGGACAAGGCTGGTAATGCACAGGAGGATACAATTTGACTGGGGATTTGAAGAAATTGTCATTGTATTTGTTTAAGAACCTTACGAGTTTCTGTAATTTTTTTATTTGACCAAGTATTCTAAATAGCCAAAAATTGTACATAAAACAACACTGCTTCATGCTTAACGTTAACGGAAGTAAACTCTATGTAAGCGTACAAACTAGGTATAAACAGTTCCAGCTTTAAAGAAACGTTCAACTGATGTTCAGTCTTGAAGAAATTAGAACTCACGCAACTCAAATTTACGCAAATTCACGCATTTTCACTTCACGGATATTCACTCAACGAAAATTCACTCAAGTTTAACAGTTGTGGAAAAAACATTAGGAATTATCCTTGCTCAGGGTTTAATTAAGTGGCAATACACCGCTACGAAGAATAAGAGATCTTTTTAACTTAAATACAAACAATAATAAGTACTCTTAGAAAACAATAAATAAATGAATATAGCTATTTTAAAACATATTCACATGATGAATTGTTTGAAAGTTCAAAAAACACCAACGAGAAGAACTGGTTAAAACTAAAAAATCGCTTCAATTTGAGAACTTGTGTATCCGCCGAGGGGACTCCCATATGGCACCATATCGGAACCCTCTAAAGGAGACCAAATTCCGACACTGTACGGCATGTACATAGATATATTTCTTTACGCACAGTCAACCCTAAGCAATATCAAGCCAAAAATATTGGCTTTTCGTCCTAACAGAACACGTTGAATATGAACTTTGAAACCTAAACAACCCGGGATAGAGGTTGCATTTAGAGTCTTAGCTTTCTCCTTGATGAAAAAAGAAAAACGTTGGATTGAAACCAAAAAGCGATTGCTTGATAAGCGCAACAGATGATGAATGCCTTTATCCATCAGTGTTTAAATTCTTCACGCGGCCTGTGTTACAAAATGACCAAATTAGCCGGAGTTCAGTGAGATAACTTTTGATGCAGTCTAGCACCTCTTCTTATTAACTTTCTTCGTATAGCACGCTTTTTACGACACACCCAGATACCAGGCGGACAGAAATTAGGGTTAATCTTGCTTGTGGGACGCATACGCCCATTTTCAGCCATGTTATGCTCCGAGGATCCATTGGATGATCCGTGCTTCTTGTCGTTAAAGCGAGCATTGTTTCGCAACGGCATTGGCGTGGTCACTTGACTGGTTGCGTTGATGACTATTTTGGCTGCATTATCCCCCCTGGTCGTATCAGGATCACTATCATGTTTGTCATCATAACAGGCTATGATTCCGGGGGGACATTCCTCAATGTCATAGGTGGATGGTACTTTCTGATGACCCACAGGGAAGTTGTGTACCAAATCAGCTACAAGCAAGATGGTTATGGTGACTTTGATTAGAAACATGTCGTGTCGTGTCAAGCTAAAAGAATTAAAGAAGAAGAAGAAAATAAATAAGTTTAGTTTCAGTATTAAACGTTTGGCACGAAATTTTTGCGTAACTAGTATAATCTTGTGCACGGCCCAGCGGTCTTTTATTATGGGGGAAAACTTTTTGCGATCGAGTTTTGCTATTTTCAGGAAGTCAGGTTTAATAGGAACGAGCGAACACTTTTTTTTTATACTATAAAACTACTTGCGTTTGAAAAGCGAGTGAAACAACAGACTCTTGAACAAGTTTATCAGTTTTAATTACTATATCAAAATTACATCTTATCCTAGTGTGGCTTACTGTTCCGGCATTATCTCCCGAGTTACTACAGGCATTTCCTCTTTCAAACCACGACCCAGTTGTTCAAAGTCCGATTAGCTCTAGTGACCCGGGTTTCTTTTTCTTTTTTCCAAAAGCACTTTCTCGGATAATTTTCTGCATTTCTTTGTTGAGCATCGGCAATCATCACTTACGTTTTGCCACTGCAAAGAAACTAGGTCGTTTTAACTTCGCAAAGACTTGTGGGACTGTAAGTAGGGACAGGAAAAAAACTGGCCAATAGCCGATCGGCGCGTCCCCAGTAGCGATCTCAGAAACAATAGCAGTTAAAAAGGTACTCCTTTCGTATACCTTGTATTGACAAACCTCAATACCTAATTTAGAACATTCCATTCCTTTAAACTACTGTAAATGCATTGTCTTTTAAAGTGATATAAATCACAAAACCAGGACCGGGTTGTTCAAACATGGAGTAAGGCTATCCAGTGGATAAATCACTATCCAGCAGATAAGTATTAAGGAAACCTGTTGTGCTACGCAGTTGATAAATATTTATCCAGCGGATAGCCTTTCCACCTTCTGAACAACTGGGGCCAGAACGTTTTCTTGCAAGTTTTTCACGACCATAAGATGCATCTGTTATGCCATTTGGACCTTTTTACAGACCAAGATGACTGATTTCCCAACCCCTTTATATACCTGAAGCCTAAAAACAGTACCCCTTTCGTGCGGAGCCTCCCCAAATAGGCCACCATGGGGAGTACCCACCGGGAAAAATCCACGGGGCAAAATGGTGCGTGGAGGCAATTACTAAACTCAATGGGACAAAAGATACTGATACGCCTTCCTAGTTATCTTTTATATACTTGCTGTTAATTTATCAACAGATTGGCCGGATGCGATGCCTCATTCTTAGCATTGAAAGCAATCCATGTACACGATAAGACACAAGGACTCTGTTACGTCTTTTTTCTAGTAATCTCCCTTTAGTTTTATAATTAGATGCTGTTATTTTATCAATTTCAACTTCCGGCCTGCACGCTGTAAATTTGGGGTGGGCGTTTTATGTTCTAGCAACCTGAGATACCCATCCAAAATCAGAAGCCACAGTTCTTTGATTGGCCGGATGCGATACCTCATTCTTAGCATTAAAAGCAATCCATATACACGATAAGACAGAAGGATATTATTACGTCGTCTTTCTAGTAATCTCTCTGTTATTTTATCAATGTCAACATCCTGGCGTTGCGCTGTATGCAAATGTTGAGGTGGGCGTTCTAGATTATAGCAACCCCCAACACCAATGCAAAATCAGTAAGTTTCACTTCTGAATTAATCTAGTCACACTTCTTAGCTGATGCAAACCAACCCTCATTCTTAGCATTAAAAGCAATCCAAGCTGGATTGGTGGCACGATTTCTCTTCCCTTGAACAGAAATTTCACGAGCTGTCCCAAGTAGCTCATGGCTTTGACAGTGTTGATGTGGGCTTTTCATAGTACCCTTGATCAATTCGATTTTAATGACCCGTCTTCTTGAACCCAAACCCGTGCGTTTTCTATTCCCTGTGCCTAACTATCGATCGGCTTAGTTTAGTTTAGTTTAGTTTATTAAGAAAAATTGAGAAAATACAAAATATGATGTACCACTGCTCGCAGTTAGCTATAGCTATTCGAGGCGAGCAGTGGCTTGACACTGAAAAATAGAGTCATTTTTCATCGGCAGCTTTGCGCATTACTATATGTATCATACTTAGATACCTAGTCTACTAAAGTGTACACTCTGGTAATTCAGCAGACATACTGTACATATCTCGGGGTATTGACTTCACATGACGGAACCACTAGGCGGTTCGACGAAAATATTGCAAGCTAGCTTGGACTATATCTTCGACTTTGGAGATTTAAAGAAAAACTTGACGGAAAGCAAACATGCAAGTTAGATATATGCTTCCTTGAGACTGACTTGACCATGATCGTTAACATAAGGTTCTTTTTCTATAGTCATTGTTTTTGCCGTTGCGTATTGGTTCCAACCACCTGTGTAGATGTAAACAAGGAAGCGCTGTTTTGATTGAACTGCCCATTAGCTTTTAGATATGCCGGAATTTCCAAGTTGACTTGTTCTTGCATTCTGTATGGCCAAGGCAGACTGAAGGTAGTTTTCTTAACTAAAGGAGGAACGTTATTGCAAGTTTTGTTATACATAATCCTGCCGTTTAAAATCAATTTTAACTTGGGTTTTTCCATCAGTTTCATTATTGCGCCAAAGAGAAATATGCCGAAGAACTTTTGGACAATGGATCAAGTTACTGGAGGTTTAAGTGAGTTGGACGGGATGAAAATAGCTCAAGAACGGTTTTCAGAATAGATGATGACTAATTTGTGTGAAAGGTGAACAGTTCTTTGGAGAGAAAAGGCTTCAAGTTTTAGGCGTTTTTACAAGGTGCGACAATCGATAGAGAATTGTAGTAAACTACTTAAACAGCTGCAAACAGGCAGCCAGGGAAGGTGATTCCCTATCGCAGTGAACGTCGGATTACTTATAGCCGTTCTAATCGGTTAGCTGAAATATCGTACTATAAATTTCAGATCAACGTCCATTAAATTAAGTTGTATCGCTCCATACTTCTATAGTACTTAACTGGTAGCTGCAAACTATAGTTTTCAGAAGACGACAGACGGGGACTGACAATTTTCTCTTTGCATGCATCATCGGGTAGAAAATTTAAGTTATCTGCACTGACTATCAGGAACATATTACATATTGTTTAGGGTTATACTCTTCTTAGAATTTTGTCGATACCTAGACGCGAATCAGTTTGTCGTCAGGAAATGAATATGCACGATAGGATTTCTTTTGGTATGTGAGAGTGACGTAAACTCAAGTGAACACTTTGGATTCTAGGACGTTTCGTTAGAGAATTGATGCTAGTTTAGAAAAAAAATCGAAATTTTCTACCTTCGTCTCATGATCTAACCTTGCAAATCATAAGGATAAGGTATGATGCTGGCCAATGCTAAATCTGAAAATGTCAGGTACGATTTCCCTCCCCCCAGACTTCGACTACTCTGATACCACTATCCAAAGCTATATAAATGTTTAGCCCATTCAACAAAGAAAACCAATTTGCAATAGCTTCAGCATATTACATTCAGTAGAACATAACGAGATAGTATAAACTCAGGATTCCTCCCTCCGCCGTTCTTGGCCAGGCGACTTTACGAAGTTTTGCTTTTGCCAGTGCTCAGTCCTTCAGGGGGGGAGGGAGGGGGGGGATTGCAATGCAAGTATAGTTCCTAATGATAAAAACCAATCATTGAAAACATTTTTTATAATCTCTGCTGAATTCGATCAATAAACCCTGAATTGATTTTGGAGGATAAATTGCTCTTTATGCTCACTCACTTGGGTTAATTTTTGTCTTCTTGCGATGAGTAGTCACACTGTCTACAAGCGTATCAGTTTGAAGTCAGCAGAAGTGGGTTGAAATACTATCGATGCCTTCTCTCTTTTTTGAAAATAGGACAAGGTTTGTTAGAAAACCCTAGAACGCGCATTACAACGCCTCGTCCAGGAGAACGCAATTAACTACTTTCTCATTACGAAAAAGTTCCGAAAGGAGTATACCAAGGATATCACATTTACTAAATTAATAACAGCGACTCCTTTATGCATTAAAGCTTCATCTCTTATGCTGAAAATTCACGAATTTAGTCTGAAAAGAAACGTTAGGCGTTTCTTAGTAAAAAGATTAACCTGTGTTGCACGAGGGGTGTACGGGGAGGGAAGAGGGAGAAATAGTTCACCAATTGACACGTACACTATTGAAAAAAATCACAAACCTTTGCAAAATGACAAAATCCTTTTCCCCTGGATAGTCGAGAACAAGGAAACGGATTGCGTTGGTAAATAGACTGGGTCTAGGCACGGTATAGCATTCAAAAGAAAGTTCTGCTTGCTCCTGAATACTTTGCTGCTATCTTGCGCTGGTATGAAACACGACGATAATATCCCAAGCAAATATCATCACTTTAAGTTTTAAATCACGGGATCCAATAATTAGGCTAGACTCGGTCTAATTGACTGACTTGAAATCGATATTGTAAAGCAACAATAACGTTTCGAACTCTGGCAGCAAAGGTCAGTCAACCTGCTGTTTCCTCTGATTAAGCCTTATCATTGCTCCACGTAGAGCACGTTCACAGATAGCATGAGTATAAGTTGTAGTGTAATGTAGCTTAAGATCCGGCCCGAAGGAGGAAACGTTTTTTCGAAGTTCTCGCGCGTCCATCTAAGAAGGAAAAAGAGGCACAATATGGGGTTCTTGAACTCTCACGTCCCAGCTTGAACATTGACAAATCTATACCTCGTAGGCACGGAATGGTAAAAACATACAAAGAAAATAAAAAAAAGAAAGAAAATTCATTCCTTATAATTGGAGATCCATCCACCTTTACAAGTTGCAAAACTTGCAAGGATTGATATCTGAAATTAGCTGCTGCGATTTTTTTTTACTGTCTCGAGAAAATCAGACGTTTGGTAAACAAGACTTTTTTTCTAGTATTAAGGCATTTCTTTTAATAGAGCAAGGCAATCACGTGTTTTCTTACAAAAGAACTCTGTTTAGCACGTGGAAGAAAGGGTAAATTCTGGCGGATAGTGAAAAAAAAAACAAAAAAAACTGACTTCCCAAAAGTCGAAAATGTAACCTCACTTGACAAACACGCCGCACGTGAAAAAGTGTGTGAGAGAAGCTCTGTCGCAACTCTTCCAGCATGTTGCGTAGCTTTTCTTTGACAGAAGGTGAACATATTTGAGGATTAATTTTCCTTTCTAACTTTGCACGACATCTGTTGCGTTTATGTCGTTGTGGTACAGTAATTGGCAATGATAACTGCTTAACCCAATCCTACTCCAAGCCAGACGGGTTTTTTTTATTAAATGGAATCCTGTGTTCTGATTGTTCTGATTGGCTACAGTAAGATAAGCCCATCATAATCATTATAAATGATCTGGAGATTTTTCTTAAGGATGAACTTGTTTAAGTTACAGTT